GCATGACATCAACAGCCTGCACAAGCCCGGAAGACGTGTACTCAAAACAGATTAGAATAGGGGGGTATGTTCTAGTTAAACTATCCAAGAACCCCAAGGAATAATAATACTGGCCATTATTCCGAGCCCTATGTCAAACTATCCAAGAATCCTAACGAATAGTTTTGGTCATTATTCCGAGCCCTATACTCAGAATAGAACGGGAGTTTTGGCTTTGGGCTCTGGGCTTCGAAGATGCGGCGCCCGAAAGGTTTTTGACTCCACTGCTCGAGACAGGGGATGCCTCGGTGAGGTTAGGGTTTAGGGTTCAGGGTTTAGGGTTCAGGGTTTAGGGTTCAGGGTTCAGGGTTCAGGGGTCGGGGTTCAGGGTTCGGAGGTTTAGGGCTTTAGCGTTTAGGGGTCAGGGTCTGATTCCAGTCATTCTATTTGTACTAAACGTACTTTGAAGGTAGGAACCGGAAGCCGCAATCGGGAACATGAAGCCCCCACAACAAAGTTCTGCCGAACCATGAACCTCCCAGCGCCGAAACTGACAGTTTCAGGTCTTCCTGACTTCAGAACCTCTCTCCCCAAGCGGCGCAAGAGAATCCGGATAAGATCCCTGAACCTCTTCACGGCAGGGGCTCTGAGAAGTGGTGACGAAAGCGTGTAGAACCCCACCCCCATGCCTCATTCCTGCAACTCCACATCACAGGCTTTCTGAAAATGCTAAGAAAACCGATGACAATCCTCTGAGCCAGCCGCGCAGGTGCAGAAATAGCAGGAGTAGCAGTAGTAGCAGGACGGGTAGGAGTAATGAGTCCGGAGTAAGGGGTAACGACTAAGCAAGGAGTAAGGAGTAGGACCTAGGACTGAGGAGTAGCAGTAGGAATAGGAGGAGTAGGGGAAGGAGTCGCCGTCAACATTCCTTTACAATAGTGCAGAGATCCTTACAAGGGAGCTTTGGTAACTATGGGCGATTAAACCCTGAATCGTAAACCCTAAAACCCTAAAATACACTAACCCCCCAACCTTAAACCCTAAAGCCGAAACCCTAAAACCCCACACCCTAAACCCTAAAACCCCAAAGCCGTAGAATTCAAAAAAAAGAAGGAGCGGAGAGAACTTTGAGGCCTCCGGGGCGGCGCCTGGCCCTCAGGCCTGGGGGAGTCCTGCCACTTCCTGAAAGGGTTCAAGGTTTAGGGTTTGAGGGTTTTTGGGTTTAATTTAGGGTTTTAGGGCTTTGCGGTTTAATGTAGGGCTTTAGGGCTTTAGGGTTTAAGGGCTTGAAGGGTTTAAGGGTTTAAGGGTTTTAGGGTTTTAGGGGTTTTAGAGTTTAGGGTTTATAGGGTTTTAGGGCTTAGGGCTTTAGTAGCGTCTTCTTCTTTTTCTCCTTTACGCTACTCGAGGTCTCGAGCTGAGCGTTGCCCAGCTGAACAACTCTAGCGGAAAAGGAGGTAGGAATTTGTCACTGTGCCCCAGAGTCTCTTGGAACCGGGCATAAAACTTTCACCAGTGCTTAGGGTCACTTCCACTATTTTAACAGCGGCTCGCCTACTTTGCTTAAGCAAGATATTCGATGAGGTATTCGATGAAAAGCCTTTAGGGTTTTGGGGTTTAGGGTTTAAGGGTTTTAGGGTTTAGGGCATTGCAGGGTTTAGGGACTCTAAACCCTCAGCCCTAGACCCTGCAAAGCCCTAGACCCCAAGCCCTAAAACTAAAACCCTCAAACCCTTAAACCCTAAAAACCCTAAAACCCCGAAACCCAAAACCCTAAACTCCCAAACCCTAGACCCTCAAACCCTTGAACCCCGTAAACCCTAAACCCCAAATCCCCAAAACCCTAAACCCTAAACCCCAAATCCCCAAAACCCTAAACCCTAAACCCCAAATCCCCAAATCCCTAAACCCAAATCCCTAAATCCCAAACCCCAAAACCCCAAAACCCCAAAATCCCAAAATCCCCAAAATCCCCAAAATCCCAAAACCCTCCTAAGCCTTAAAGTCGGATCAGACCCAAGTGGCTTGAACAGGGACGCGGGAAGATCGGAGACTGGGATGCCTTGGTTGGAGTGGGGGTTCAACGGTTTAGGGCTTGGGGTTTAGGGTTTTAGGGGGTTTAGGGTTTAGGGTTTTAGGGGGTTTAGGGTTTAGGCTTTAGGGGGTGTAGGGTTTAGGGGGTTTAGGGTTTAGGGTTTGGGGGGTTTAGGGCTTAAGGGTTCAAGGGTTTTAGGGCTTTAGGGTTTTAGGGTTTAGGGTTTTAGAGTTTAGGGTTTAGGGCTTGGGGTAGAGGGTTTGGGGTTTGTGAGGGCTTCATAGGTTTCGAGTTTGCGATGGAAGATTCAGGATAGCTTCCTCGTCGGATCCCAACTAGACGTCCGAACTACCCGCTGAGATGCAGGATGGAGCCTCTTACTTTCCAAGACTACAGGTCTACGGCTTCGAAAGAAGCCCCCAACATTTTGGGCTCGTTTAGGGTTTAGGGTTTAGGGTTTAGGGGCTTGTGCTGTTATCCAGCTGGAAGCATATCGAGCTAGGGAAGCTATGCACTTTGAGTCTGTGATGCGCTTGCGTTGCCGTCCAATGCTTCTGCTTGTGCAATGCAGAGCCACTACTACCGCAACGACAACTACTAGTGCTCTTACCGGTCCTCCTGCTAGTAACGTTGCTATCTGTTTAGTCGTTTTACCTACCATCAGAGATGACAGTGCCACTACTGACTGTTGCCACGGTGTAGTCAGTCACGTTGTCGCCACTTGAAGTATTGATCACAGTTTCTGGTGGTGTGTCATCTTGCTGGTATTCCTCAACAGTATAACTTGCACGATGGTTGCTCTTAATGGTCTTGGCTCGCATCCCTGCTGCCGCCAACAGTAAATACCATAGCAATAAATGCCAAGAGCCATGTAAACTACGTTGGCTCGTAAATAAGATCTTCTTAAGCCCAATCAGGGAAAATATGGAAAATATGAAATCTCCCACAGACCCGCCTAGTGAACGGTAGTAGCTCATGGTAGCTCCATTGACTCTAGACTCTAGCTTGCCTTTATTGTATGCTTATCGGTAGAATGTTGGAACTTTGAAATTGCAATAGGGTTGTTGGCAAGGCTACTGCTGGTGCTACTGGCGAGATTGCTCGTACGTGGCTGCAGTAGAACTGTTTTGATGACTGCCAGTACAGTTCTTACGATTTTGGGACTTTCGAAGAGATCCCTGGGCACCCGAAACCAACATCAACACCTCACACACACACACACACCTCACACACGCCTGGCCTTTGAATTCTTCGAAAACCAGGGATGTAGCCCGTAAATCCTAAACCCTGAGCCCTAAGCCCGATTGATTTTCCGAAACGACTTCCCGCCAAGCGGGAGCCGGAGAAGCAGTGCTAAAGTTCAAAGAAACCCCTACCTGCAGTCTCCATTGTAGTTCTTTCTTTGGTTTCACCAGTTATATATTTTAGGAATAAGGTCACCCCAGAAAGGAACTACGATGGAGACTACGGGTAGACCTTGAACTCCTTGTGCAGAACAAGATGCGACAGTTTTGTTGGTCTAGGTTCCTGGGCCGCACGATTGCAGGTTTCATGTTATCGCTAGATGGGCATGAAGGCTTCGTGATGATTGCATTTGTCAACTCAATGCCGTGCTTTGAGCCGTTCTGTTCTGTAGGAGAGAAGGATCTCGGATTGAGGGTTGAACGATCGTGCCCAGAGCCTCTTGGACTCGATAGCGCAGAGAAGTACCCAATTGTGGATGCACGCTGTTACCTTGAATGGTCGAAGCATCTTACAATCACTGGATCTGACAGTCTCCAAACTCGCCGATGTGGGAATCTGAGAGTTCTCCTAAGCCGACCATCGCTGCAAGGCATTAAGCTCCAGGACCCTCCAAGTACCCTCAAATAGGCGTATATGGTCCCAAATTAAGGGTATTTAGGGTCTAATCGAGAGTAGATGGAGGGTCTAGGCTGGTAGTAAACGGAGCCAAAGATCTGGCCGCTGAGAATATCCATCATCCAGTCTGCCGGATTCCAGTTCCTTGCCGGGTTTAGGGTTTTGGGGTTAAACCCTAAACCCTAAACCCTAAACCCCAAAACCCTAAACCTCTACACCCCTAAACCCTAAAAAGGTAAGGTGTGCTGCTGTTTTCCTTCTTTGTTCGGGAGAGCGAAGGGTTCTGGTGTTTGAGGGTGTAGGGCTAGGACATTAGTGATAGTAGCAAGGGTCTCTAACGCTGCACATTACCAGAATAACCACCATCGTCCTGGTTGGAGGAGTCCTGTTAGCATCGAAAATAACCAGAACTTTTGAGTCAGTTAAGACCTTCGGTGCAATCAGAGTACAGAAGCTAAGAGTTCACACACATCAAGGATTCGGAACCACGTTCCGTGAACCTCAGGTGTCTCATGAGTTCACTGTTCTCGCGTTGCCTTGAAGGGAAAGGTTCAAAGCTGCTCCTTTTGCGACCGACAGAAGCAGATATCTTCCCGTAAGCACTAAAAACCCTAAACCCTGAAGCCCTAGAGCCCTGAAACCCTAAACGCTAAAGCCCTAAAAAACCTTAAACTCTAAAGCCATCAAGCCCTAAAGCCTTAAACCCTGTAAAGCCCTAAGGCCACCACAAAGCCCTAAAGCTCTACAACCCAAAACCCCAAGTCCTAAAGCACGGCCTTCCTTGTCCCGTTTACCTCTGCTAGTATCGCCTTCTGTTTGGGGTCCATGATACTAAAAATATAATAAGGAAGCCCCAGGATAGTATTGGCAATTATTTAGGCCTCTGTATTAGGGCAGAAGTCTCGAGGTGCGCCGGATGGGCTTAGGGGCCCAGGGTTTGGAGTGGAGGTTCCCTCTGAGAGATCTGGGAGAAAGAGAGGCCAGCATGAAGAGCCTCACCCTAAACCCTAAACCTTCATATGCTGCACCCCCCCCCAACTAACAGTCAAATAAAGGTTCCTTATATATCACACAGGCAGAAATGAGCACCAGGATTTGAAGGCCCAGTGGATTGCGACATTTAAACTTAAACCTTGTAGAAAGGCTGAGGTCCAAATTGGCTGAGGTGCTCCGGCATTTGCAAGCCGAGGTGTTCAAAGTGCGACTTGGCTTGCACTGTCGGTCCCATGTAGGCCTGAGCCAACTCTTCAGGGGTTTAGGGCTTAGGGGTTTAGGGGTTTAGAGCAACCAAGGTTGCAAAAACAACTAGTTTAGGGGCCTTATGTGCTCGCTACGGTTTCGTAAGCTGCGCCTCAAGACCTCAAGCACCACCACCATCACCACAAGACTCACTACCGTAATCAACACCAGCATGGCCATCATCATCATCATCATCATGCCCATGGTCGTTGCGGGGGCCAAGGTCAGACATCATCATCGTCAAAATCAGCGACTCCAAGATCAATAAGACCAGCACGACGACGACAACAGTATTAGCGCATTGCCCTCATCCATGCCATCATTACACTGGCTGCACCCTTAAGCTTTACGATCATTCTAAAACATCATAAAGCTGCAAGTGCTACACATTGCATTACATTCAAACTTACAGCTGTATCAGCAGACATCGTAGCTAGATGTAACAATGCAAGATGCCTCTTTGTCATTGCGAAATTGGAATTAAGTGTGATGATACTAACGACGAGAAAGTGTCACTTCAAATGCTGGCTGTGGTCGCCCCGAGGCTTTGCTCCAACCAAGCCGAGCATCCATGCGGCCACCCTTGTCCTCCAACGTCCCGAGAAGCAGCACATCATCCAACCTTTGACAGTCGTGCGCTACGGCCTCTGAAACAAAATGGAACATACTGTTTCTATAATTATATACTGTCATGTACTGACATATACTGCAATTCCACACTACTATACCGTACTATCTATAATATAGGCATCAGATGCATCCGGATTACCGCCATTACTACCAGTTCGGAATTGACACTACTGTGACACTACTCATCGTTTGTTTACTGTTAATCCTTAGCAATGTTGCCCTTGTGACTACTACGCAACTACTGTCGCCGCTGCCGCTCAACTTAAAAATCTGGAGTAATATGGTTGCTGCTGTGAAGTCGTTCACTCCAAGCCTCTAAGGCCTCTAAGTAGTAAAACACAGGTCGTCCCATTAACGTTAAGGGAAATCGAAATCCAATGATATCAAGCACAGTAGAGGGCCTTAATGGCTTGCCGAGCCTCAACCCTGCTCGTCCGATCAAGTCCTGGTTCCTACCAGTAGTTGTCATCGCTAGTGCCGTCACTCTTATAGCTTTTGCAGGATGCCTGCATTGGCATAGCGAAATTTCTCCATACATGTCTGGTGGTGGTGGCGGTGGTGGTGGTGATGGTGTTGGTGGTGGTAAGTAGGAGTAGAAGTAGAAGAGGGAGTAGTAGTAGTCGTCGGCGTCGTCCTCGTGGCAGTAGTAGACGTAGTGGTCGTGGTAGCGGTAGAGGTAGTTGTGCGTATGGTTGTGCTGCTGTGGCTGTTGCCGCTGTTGTTGTTGCTGCTCTTGCTGTAGTTGTTGTAGTTGCTATTGGCTTTGATGTTGATGTTGATGCTGCCATTGATACCCCTGCCACGAAACTGGGTGACAGTTGTTGCTTTATTGGCACTGATCTTGCCTTCTTGCTCTGACAAGTTCTACTGCTACGGTTGCACTATTCGCGGCGTGCGAAACCTCATTGCTGCTACTACTACTACTACTACTACCGCCGCTGATAAAATAAGGTTCCTGATAAATACTATCACAAGCCACCATCATTTTGTTCCTCTTGCTGTCATTATCAGGGCTACTAGCTAAATTTAAGTTTGGCCCGGTCACAGGGTGAAGAGGTCATAGCGCGGCTGATGGATAACCATGACGATGGTGACACCGAGCCGAGCCATCCTCCACTCAGTGCTTTTGAAGTGTAGCGGTATGTTGCATCTGCCACTTCAGGAATTAGGGTTTTGGTAAGCTTATGAAGGTTTTGCAACAGGCACTGTTTGGCCAGGCATGTACGAAGTGTCTAGGGTTGTTTCAAGGCCTCGTCTGATCAGTTTCATGGCCAAGGGACGGGACCCTTCACGGTATCTAGTTGAACCGGATCACACATCAAAGTTCCTCCTATGAAAACAAGATTTACCGGGCCCTTTTCGGGTTCGGGAACTTAGTAACTAAGGAGAGCAATGATAATATTGATAGTAACAATATTGATAATAATAGTTTAAACAAAGGAGTACGATTTTGGGAGCGTCCGCAGAGATGGGGCGCTCGAGGGCTCGCGCCCACCCACGCATCCTAGAGCCAAGCCAAACACTTCAGAAGAAGCAACCGAAAAGAAACATCGGGCAACACCTCACCCTAAACCCTAAGCCCTCAACCCTAAACCTTTCAGCCACGAGCTGAACCCTAGAATCCCGAGAGCCCTCAAGCCCATTCCGCAAGCCTACAGGCCCTAAATTCTTAACCCCTGCCTTAAACCCCAACTATACCTCCCTTTTTGAAGGACTCTGTATTCGGAAGTCATCATAAGGGCGCCCCTAAAACGGTAGGTTTCTTCAGGGCCCATCCAGGTGAAGCCCGAAACTCTGACAAAAGGCTGCGAACTACCCGAAACTCTGACCTTGCGATGTCCTATGGGGTTTAGGGCTTTTGGGGTTTAAGGGTGTAGGGTTTAAGGTTTAGGGTTAGGGTTTTGGGTTTAAGGTCTAGGGTCTGGGGTTTAGGGCTTTTGGGTTTAAGGGTGTAGGGTTTAAGGTTTAGGGTTAGGGTTTGGGGTTTAAGGTCTAGGGTTTCGGGTTTGGGGCTTTTGGGGATTAATTAAGGTGTAGGGTTTAGGGCTTCAGCTTTAGGGCTTAGGAATTAGGCCTTGAGGTTTAGGGTTTTCCAAGAAGCCAGGCCCTGGAGCCCGAAACTCTTAATCCTGAACCCTGAACTCTCAACCTACATGTCCCGAGACACCCTATACTAGCTAAACCCTAGAAGCCCCAGAAAAAAAAAAAAAAAACTAAGCTAAAGGGGGGCCCGATTAGAAGATAGACCCCAACTCTAAATCGAACCCTAAACCCCAGCAAATCCTAAACCCGAAGCCCTAAACCCTAAACCCAAAATCCTAAACCCGAAGCCCTAAAAGAAAGGCTCCAGCGCCTTTTGAGCTGCTGCACGATCATCAGCGACGCAGTGGCGTCTAAGCCCGAGGTTGGCTCGTCAAGGAAGAGGATCGTGGGGCAGGCCTCGGAAAGAGGGGCTCGTTTAGGGCTTAGGGTTTAGGGTTTTAGGGTTTAGGGTTTAGGGTTTAGGGTTTAGGTTAGGGGTTTAGGGTTTAGGGTTCAGAGCACGGAGGCCTAGAGAAGGCTTTAGAAAAAAAGAGCCGGGCTATAGGAGTTCTCTAAACCATGTCACTGTGGAGCATGCTAACCGCCACGCTGATGACATGACGTGTATGCAACTGAACAGACGCAATGTGGCCATCTTGCGATGTACAGCCCCACATGTGCCCTAAACCCGAAACCCTAAACCCAAACCCTGAACCTATACCCTCAACGCTAAACCGCTACTTTTGACGGGGCACAGCGAGCTCAATCCCGACATTGACGCGCTTCTTCTGACCGCCACTGAGTCCTTCACCTCAGGGCAAACGAGTCTCAGGGCAAAGCGGGCGAAATAGCATCGGGAATTCATTACAGAGTAGGTGATACCATAGTTATGGCTACACCCCAACCTTTTTAAACTCTAATCTCAAACCATGTAAAGAGCCTCCATGACAGGCCTAAACCATCCAGACCAACCCTAAACCCCAAAACCCAGACAACACCTAGACCATAAACACTGTTCGAGACCCCCTTTACATCCTACACGCTGCGTAAATCCGAGGATGGCTTCTCACTTTTCTGCTTTGACCGGCGCCTGTCCGAACTCGGTTGCCCACGAGCAAGTTCTGTCGCGACTCTAGCTGGAGCACCTGCAAACGTAGTGCATTTCGGGGCTTGACTTCGCGCTCGGAGCGTTTAGGGTGTAACAAGAGGCTGACAGGGAACAACACGCCTTGATTAGGCGGCCTGGTCAAGTAAGCGACGCATGAACTTCCAGATATGGGAATTTCTGGGAAGCCAACAATACGGGCCTTAATAATGAGAAGAGGTTCGGGTTACATTATAATACGGAACCCTATGAATAATGTTGGATCTCTTGAACTGTCCAAGTTTGGCGTCCAAGGTGATGTAAGGTCGGGTCGAGCCATTAGAATTCATAGCCTAAAGCATGCAGCATAAGCCACGCGAAAGCAACAATTAATAATCTTCCCGAACGGCTTGTTCTACTCTTTCAACCTCGACGTTCTTTCACACATCAAGAAGTTTCCCGCACTCAGACAACAGCAAGAGCAACATCAACAGCAAGAAGAACAGTACCCATCCCAAATGGACAGCAAAATTACCTTTGATTGCGGAAGGCTGTGCGCCACCCTAGCTGGCAACTGTGCCGTGACTCCCTGCCGAGTCTTTTCGGCGCTGCATCGTCAACCTGAGTAACAGTGGCTACAGCTCAAATTGCCAAAAATTGTGAAGATGAGCCAAAATCCTAAACCCCAAACCCCAAAACAAAACCCTAAACCTTAACACAAAATCCTAAAAAATCCCAAAACCCAGAAGGCCTGCAGGACGTCGTTCGTAATTGCTCGCAAGCGCGAGGAGCGCGTTCCCCGCGGCATGCGTTTGGCTGCGGAGTAGTAGATGTTCTCTCGGACCGTCAGGCCTTCAGGGCTCGTTTAGGGTTTAGGGTTCAGGGGTATAGGGTTTAGGGTTCAGGGGTTTAGGGCTTAGGGTTCATGTTGTTGTTGTTGTTTTTTGAGGGCCTTTTCTCCGTCTGCTAACCTCTTAGCTCAGGAATCTACGGTGCTGGGTTTAGGGGTTTAGGGTTCACGGGTTTGGGGTTTAGGGGTTTAGGGGTTTCGGGATCCAGGACTTCGCATCTTCAAGGTCGGCCGATGTCTGGAGTTTGAACGGAGGCCCGAAGTGGGGCCGGAAGCGTCCTAAGCAAGTGCCTATATGGTA